GACAATCTTAAATAGTTTGGGTTTTTTTTTGTGATTAGCAAGAGTTCCATGCTTGGAACTCCCTCAATTGACAGTCACATAATAATTAACTGGAATAAATTTTGAGTAAAAAGCCTGAAATGACAGATAACCCTAGACTGTCATCAAAATCACTTTGCCTGAATAGTAAAAAAGTTAAGCTAAAATTTAACAATGTGAAATGATTCTCAAATTTGATTTATTACTAAAGCGCAGCTTCATGGTACTCACTTTTGTCATGTATTCATATTTAAAATTATTTTGATTAGTGATACAGACGCACACAAAGCTTCTCAAGCTGGTGAATCATCCACTTCACTGGTGAATCATCTGGAACTGGGCCATCCCAAACTCAAGATAATCCTTCTTCAATAAACCTAATGTAACTTAGTTTACAAATAGACACTTGATCTTCTTACTCCTTAGTATATTCAGTGCTTACTCACTCAATGAACACTAAAACAATTCTATTGATGCCAATAAGGAAGTTCAGGTTTCTTCAGCTGAACTCATCCATTTGCATCTGCTTCCATAAATATGCTAACAAACATATTCAGTGTTCTAAAGTGACTGTATAGCTGGTCTTTGTTGGTATTTTTCCATTAATCAAATAGCAATCAAACACATCTCTAAGTTGTGGGGTGTTTTGTTTTGTTTTAAAGGATAAAAAAATCCTTCAATGAACTAGAATGATGCAGACAGAAAATAATATCAGCATAGTGCAAGAGGAAAAAAATAATTAGTCTAACATGCTTTTTCTAAAACATTTGCTGAAACTTTAAAGGAAGCTCCATCAGTGATAATTAGTAATGATGGAAGAACTAGCACAAAAGGAGCCTTACAGATATCTAACTAGGCTTGAAAAGATTCTGGACTATGCAGTGATAAAGTACTAGAGGAAACAACAAAAATCTCATACTTTTGCTTTTTGACACCCGTAGTGCTAAACAAGACAGGACAGTAGGAGACTCCAGAAAGCATCTTACTTCAGTGAGGTATTTGTAAAACCCAAGCACGTTTTTATCTTTGCCCCAGCTGGCATAAACACTAACTTAACGCACACTGTTTGCCCAATGTCTGTCTATTTATACATATAGCAGTGGCATGGAAGTGTTTCTGCACAGTTTCAACTACTATGGCATGAACTCTACATCAGTCAATCTTCTCTTCTCAAAAGCTTTGGCGGCAGACTGGTGCTGAGGACCCTCTCTGCATAGGAATCTATCCATTAAAAGAAGGAAAGAAAATTCAGACAAATTACTGTGTGTTCTTTGGAAAGATGGACACGTTTGACTGAAGAGATGTAATGCACAAGTTTTCTTTCAGTTTGTCTTCACTTATCTGTCTGTTCCTTTATTCCAATCCACCCTCTCACCCTTGTCTTTTGGTTTCCTCCTTCTCCTCTCCCCACATCCCGACCTTGGCCCTCTCCCCAAATGACTTTAGATGTGAATCCTGCTTACACTTTATACATCCTACCCCAGCCATCACTGGTAAGACAATTTCAGCAATGTTAGCAATCATGGAAAACATCAGTAAGATTATTCCTTCCCTCTTCCCAAATTCCCTGCATTTTAACTTAGGTGCAGCAGCCTTTGTTTAGGAAAGTCCAGGCACTTACCTTGCACTTTTGTAGCTCACTTCCCTAAAGTAGAGTGTGTTTTGGTTAATTCACTAGTGTTGTATACTCCAGCACACACTTCATTTGAACAAATTTGCTACTCAGCAAGTCTGACTACAATTTCCATTAACAGTGTGCACAAGCTGTTGCCTTCAAGAGAAGGAACTGTGCTACGTAGTTCCTTTTCCATATACAAAAGGATTATATTAACACAAATTTCCTACTGCTAGAACACCAAGTTGCTCTTCATTTTACTCTTGCTCTTTTTTACTCCCTACACAGCCAGGTCTAAACAAGTATTACAAATACAATGAGAGATCATACACATATAGGGAATAAGAATTTTATTTTTAGGACAATTGAAATTAAATTATTTTAAAATGTAAATTTGAGTATGAAGAGGGTTTCATTTCACTTAATTCCATCCATTAACCTACTCTGCAGCCAGTGATAGACAATTTTACGAAGAAAGCCCTGGTTATGTTGCATCAAAGCTTACCGACTTTATAAACTTCAAGAAGAAAGACTGTTCCAAAACAGCTGCTGAATTTCTTGTGGAAGCTCCCCTTCTGATAGGCAACAGTGAACTTTAATGAGCTATTAACCTAAATTATTTTTCTAGGGTTTAAATAGCCAATAAATATCACTGAAGAGACAAGTTAGTAGTTAGTCAAGTGAATTACAAGGTAAAGATTAATTTACTCATCTCACTAAGACTTGCAGGCACAAGCTACAGATGAAATAAAGGTATTTTCCAGCTTCATGTTTTCTCCCATGTTAAATACATTGCTGAATCTATTTAAGTTTGTTTCTATTCTGATATACTAACATACCCCTTCGGTATGAAGATATTTTGGAGGTTATGTCCCAACTTTTCCTTTTCAGGCCTCTGGTTGAGTTAATTTTGTAGCAAGTAACTGATACACACAGGACATTTACAAGTCGGTTTTGAAATGTGGTAGCTAGATCTATGATGATGGAATAAATACAACAGTTCCCTTCATAAGGAAAAGCTAGACACCATCAATGATTAAAATGAGTTGCATCAACTCAGGATTATTCTGCAGAGCTTCATGGAAGTGTACTTCCTCCTTCCCAGTAGCTAGGATTAAAATAAACAAATAATTCTAAGCATGCATATTTTCTTTATACTCCATACAGATTCCTGAAGAGGTGACTTTGTACTTTATTTTGACAGTTTTTTGTTTTTTTTATGTAATTGAATTCAAGCCTACTTAAGATTCACTCTGCAGTCTGAATTTTTAGAGCTGTAGTCAAGCAAAGTGTCAAATACTCATTCACATCCTCATTTGCATCCTGGGGTTAGTGTAACTTTCTCCAACTGCTGAAAGGTAACAAAAAGCTGAAAACAAACGGGCTGCTTCTGCCCAGATTTCCTTTACTCCAATAGTATTGTTCTACCAACAAAAGAGAGAGAACTGCAACAGGAATGTTTCTACCCAAATATCCACCTCTGTATTGCAGTCACTTCCTAAAATTGTAATTTCTATGGCTAGAAAACTAGCAGTTGGCTACAGTGTGTCCATATGCAGCCAGAAAGACTAACAATTCTATATCTGTTGGGAAACCTTAAATAATACCCCATTGTTTCATATTTAGAAAATCAGTAAAAAAATCAGTACTGTTGAAAGTTTCATGTTATTAAATTGGAAAAACTATAATGTGAAAAAGTCAAAAAAACGGTAGGGCTTTTTTGGAATAGAGAGGTGGAAGAAGAGTGCGCTTTGTTCTGGTAACCACAGCTAGTGGGGGCAGCTAAGTACAAAGAAGCATGCAACATCATCCCAAATGTAAAACACAATCTAGCATGATGGAGTTACATGAGACTGTAAGAGTAACAGACATAACAGCAATTATTTAGAAACAACAAACTGAGAAATGACATTTATTAAAATGAGAGTCAATCTCAGACTCAACAGCAAAAACTGATGAAATTACATCAAGCACTGAGGTGTAAAACATGAAATTAAAATAAAGACTCTCACCAAGAGCAATGGTGAGAACAGATTACAAGGAGCACCATGCACTAGAAGGTGGTCTAGACCTTCCACCAGCCGTCTGGGCTAGAACCACCACAGCTGCAGTCCCACTCTCAACATGACGATGTAACAGAACCCTCCACATTTTTAAACAACTCGTAAACACTACACCTGAAAGTATTTGCAAGAGCAGGAAAGCAACTCTTATTAAAATGACACTTCGCACTACATCAATCATTTCTAATGACTTCTTTGTCTGAGTCCTGTCTGCATACACTACCATCTTGCATGGATTCTGTATCTTTCCCTCTAACAAAGAAGTCTCAAAATACTTTCCAAAGGACACTGTTAATTACTGTCCATTATGAGGGGAAGTTAAGCACAGAGTAGTGATGAAACGCATCAAATCCAGGGGCAAAATTAGACATGTCCTCCAATCTAACTAAATATTTATTACATAAACTTTGTTAATGAACTAGAATAAACAATTTACTCATGTTTGTTAGCGTGTAAGAAAATCAGCAGTTTCAGGCTAACTGATAAGTAAAGCCAAAGAGTAAAGAAAGCTCATATACAGACAGGTAAATAGAACTATTTTCATAGATTTATTTGAAAAATACTTACAAAAGCAAGTATGTTTGACACTAAAATAATTAAACTTATTCTGTGTTTACATTGGTGTAATTAAGCGTGCAGCATTAACAGTCTTTTCTGTTTGAAGCATTGTTAGTTTGCCTTAAGGAAGTGGGGAAAATTCTGGTTTACTGATGAACAGTGTCTCCCTGTCACTTCCTCAGCAGCAACTACAGCTGGGATCTCTGCCCAAGATCTCAGCTCACTGAGAACTGAGTTTGCTTTACTGCCAGCCTGCCAAGTGCAGATTTACTGGAACCTGGAAGGTGGGTCAGTTTTTTTCCCCCATAGGAAGGAACGGCAGAGAGGAAGGAGAGGAAAACAAAAGGATTGTTTTTTATGTGAAGAATTTACCAAAGCTACATTTCATGAAAAAGAGTCCTTAAAAATGTCCTTTTGTTAGTGGCGGTCTTCCTTCAAAACACGCACATGCTTCTGAACTTACCCGTAAACCAACGCCCCTGAAGCCTACCATTCCTACAGCACTTTTTTGCTAGCAGAGGCCAGGACTAGAACAGCTAAGGTTCCCTATCCAGACAGCAGTTCGGTAGTGTCAGAAATGAAATACAGTGCAATTAGTTTCCACATACTGTATAGCTACATTTTAAGACAAAACTGGCACAGATACTGATTGAAAGAGTTTGCTGTCTCCATGTAATCCATGCTCTGGCAACAGCTACAGTCTGTTCACAGAGTGGTTTATTAGGGCACATGGAGCGGATGGGATCTCACCAGCCATTATTTTGCCTGGTGCTAGCAGCCGCTGCTGCTCGAGCCAGCATATTTCTGTGTGCCTCCGAAGCAGAAGAAAAAGTCCCATCCATCACATGCATTGGCAGCATTCGCCTTCTGCCAGGCTGAGGAGTGTAGCTGTTCTGTCGCCAGTCTTCTTCTGGGGGCATATCAACTCTCCTTGGACCCGGGGCCTTAACACAAGACGGGGGCACAGGACAACCTTGAGAGGCACCGGGATCCCAAGAAGGCTCATGTGATATTCTTAAAGTGCTGTAGTCTGTGCTGGCTGGTAGCCTGCAACTCATGGCATAAGATCCATGCATCTGACGTTGTGAAGGCTGCTGGAGGAAGCCTTCCTGTAAACTCTTGTCTGGCTGGCCAGCGTGTTTCCCCCAGAGCATTGTTCGTTTATCTGGTAACGTGGCTGTTTGCCTGGCAGGGTAGCTCGTGTTCAGCCAACGGCCAGAGACACTTGATGCTCCACCTCCTAAATGCGGATTAACAAGAGGCTTTTGCCCCTGGGAGAGGGTGCCTTTGGGTGCACAAGGGAGACTCCCATAGCTCAGTGCCACACCTGGGTAGTCTTCACCTTGGAAAGCTTCACCCCTGTCAGGCACAACCAAAAGTTTCTGGATGATGTTGTTCTGATCTCCTGGGGGAAAAAAAAGTTTGCATAGTTATATTTTTGTTTCATCCTCTCAGAACTTTCAGCTGTGGCCAACAGGTGACAGAAGAAAAACAAAATCACTAGTCCATCCAGTTACATGCAATTCTGAATAAAAGCTAGCTGTACCCTTTCTAGTATTCACTTTCCTCACTGCGTTTCCTCCTTATCCTACCACAGCTGCTGTCACAGACTTCAGATTTCTTTAATAAGCCTCGTGTCATCAAGGAGGAGCCCAACAAAGTATTTCAAGGCTGGTTTTGCAAACTGGTTTTGATAACTGTCACAGGGAAAATAGTTCTCATGCAGGAATTAGTTATTTCTCTTGGCACAATTACATGTACATGCTGGAACAAGTAGCTTGTGGAAGTACTCTCATACGTGAGAACAAGGTGGTGGGTCTTACTGCTACTTTTACACTAAAGAAAATACCTTACAAAATGTGAATGTGATTTTATACAAAGTCGTCATAACATTTCCCATAAAAATTATTCCCTTTTGTTATGTCCGCTTAGCACAGAACAACTCAGAAGGGCAGAAAAAAAGAAAAATAATGTGAATCGTCCTTCCAGATTTCTGGAGGAATTCAGGCAAATGGTGAAACATCATTATGAAAGACAAGATCTGAAGAGTTGTATATCAGCAATATTTCTGATCAGGAAGGAGGATGAAAAGTCCTGTGATTACCTGACGGTTTATGTGCTTTGCCCACCATGCTGGGCATCAGTACATCATGGGGTAGGTGCTGCACCTGTTTTGGGTTGTGCTGAGGATCAAAGGAAAACACAGGAGGATCACGGGGGAAAGGAAGGGAAGTGGAGCTGGAAGAACGGTGGCTGGTATCCACTGGCATTTTCCTCGTATTTGGTGCTTCCTTATATAAAATGAGAAAGGAGAAGAAAAAAACATAAAATGATGAGTAAACAGAGTTGGGTTGAATCAAGCAAAGATGGTGTTGATCCAAGGAAAGGGATGAGTCACCGGAATAAAAACATGCATCTGTATGTGAAAAAGAAATACAAGTAAAAACTGCATCAATCCAGTAAGGCTCTCACTGCAGTGGTGGGCTACTTACGAGGGTCATTTGACTGGAAATATACCAAGAAAAAAAGCCAAAACAAAGATCAACCAGTCACGGAGGTTTGGCTTACAAACTGAATCCACAGAATGATGGCAGGCCAGTCAGCATTGGAACTGCCATGCTACATAAGCCAAGAAATAGAGAAGAGTATTGCTGATCCTTCCTTCCTATTTTCTAGTAGGCTTTACAGAAAGCTCTGATTCCAGACTATGAACAGATTTACCTGTCGCAGCTGAAGTATTTACCAGTGCTGCACCATTCCCCTCTATTAGGGGATACCTACCCCAGAGCAGGGATGGCTGAATGGCACATATCCTTAGCTTATGGCACACAGCAGAAAGACAGAGTCAGACCAACCTGTCTACATTAACTGATTTTGCAACTGAGACTCTTCTACACTTATTAAGCAGTTGGTTTCAAATCAAAACTTAAGCACAGTTTACAAAAAACTGAATCCAAGCTAAACCTTCATATCTAGCTATGTTGCTAAACATCAACAATAATCTGTTACTGTTTTCCTCACTGGCAGTTTTAACTTGCACCTAAGACTACTCAATGGAGGTAACGGGGCAGGTGGGGGTGGTGGAATAAAAGTCATCAATCTCCCTATTTGTAGTTATTTCCTGTATGTAAGTGGCTGCATGTTATGTACCAAGTCTTGAATTGTCTCCCCTTTATGCTTCTTTTACTCTCTAAAAATGCTACTTGCTGAATATAACCACAGAGAGCAGAAACTTTCACATGGTTAGCGGTGTCTTCTAAAAATTATAGGTATATTAGAAGCTTTCTTGAAAATACTCAAAGTCAACTGAAAAAAAATGTTTATAGTGGATGTCTTTGTATCCTGGCAAGTAATATTAGCTCACATGCTTGCCAGCTGCAGCAGGTACTACTCCGCAATGACTCCTGAAGAAGATGGCTTTGTTAACTTAAAAAAAAAAGCTCATTCTTCTTCCAAAAGGAATAAAAATTCACCAAGACAAGCTTTCATCATGGCTTATTACTCAGTTGTCTGCTGATTTGTTTGTTAACTACTAGATGCGGACAGAGAAAACAGCAACCCTACACAGAGATGACGACTCTTTGGAAAGCTGTACATCGTTCTACTTACAAAACTGTGAGAAGAGACCAAGGTCTCTTCTCTGTTTGAGATGACTGTCCCACTGAGACTGCGAGCAATGCGACGGAAATTCTCTGCACTGTACATTTCCTCCTCTTCTGGTTCCCTGCTATGTTCTCTGGTATATGTGACCTGCAGACAATATCACACACTTCAGAAAAGGCTCTCCATAATATCAATTTTGTATAATAATTATAGGGAAGAGATCAATATAAATCTAACAGACTGCTTATACTTCAATGAAACTCCATAACCTCTTCTTTTTTGAAATCCTTCATTCAGGTACTACCTTGAAAACTTAAAGCAAATGAGTCTGTTTGGATCTGGTGATTAAAAATATTATTCCTTATAGTCTTTCTTTCTTTAGTAAATATACACTGATTGATTTGTCTAAGTGAGATTCACTCTTTTACAAATATCTCAAGTCAGGACAAAAAGTCTCTACTGGGATGAATTTACTTAAAGGACTGACTGCTGCTATGGGCATCACTGCTCCTGCAGAGATAATCATGGCTGTCACTGACAGCCATCCTACAATAAAGTACTACAGTCTTCTCATAACCAAAAAAAAAATCCAGGATTTTGAGTGCTGGAAGCTTGTAAATCTTATGTTAGCAAAGGAAACGTCTATTCCTTCTTCCTTTTCTCCATTCTAATAAGCAAGACCATTTAAGCTCCCTTTAATGAGTATGGAAGCATCATAGGAAATGTCATTTCCCCTTCAAAATACTTGTATGTTTTCACGTGCAGGCACTGAGATGTAACTGCCAGTTACTTAAACAGTTTATCCCCAGGAAAAAAAAAAAGTGAGTGTCCCTGCAAGTGGTAACATCAAGAAGCAGTTATCCTAAGTTGTGATGCAAAGCAGTTCATCTCAATATGTTCGAAGGGATTAGATCTTAAAGTTTTCAGGGATGTGTTCCTCAAAGTCAGAATTTAGATGATTTGATTGCATGCAAGCTGCATGTAACATAAGTCTCTGAACATTAGCATCAATGACCTTTTTTGTAATATATCCTATTTCTCCCATTGTAAATTCTTTCACTTGCACAGGCCAAGCCCTCCCCCCTCTAGCACATCTTAAGTAACAACGTGTCACCTTGGAGACAGAAGAGACAGCGGATCCAGACAGACTGCGCTCGATCTCTGCTGTTGGGGTTTTCGAGAGACCCATGCCAGCTGCAGCAGGCAGCTTCCTCGCGTTCAGGTTTGCAGAGACTGGGAAGGAAAACGCTACGATTAAATTCAGCGCTTGATTGCACGTTATGGCACATTTCTGACTCCAGAAAAGACAGACAGACTACACGCACAGAACGAGAAGTCACCAGAGATCCTTTGAACATTAATACATAAGCCAACTCCCAACGTTTCAAGGGGAGACAGTCTATCAGGATATTCACACCTGCTTCACTTGCCCTTTTGCAGGCTTCTAGGGAGCAGTTAATTCAACTATTTAAGCGTTAAATGATTTAACTACACACCAGCACTTGTTTGATACAGAGGCAAGAGTTTAGGGGGCCTAAAGGGATAGAAAAAAAACCAGCTTTCAGGAGCAAATTACCTAAAGTTACTTGGGATAAACAAGACTCATCAGCTTTGAGTTCCCCACACATTCACCTGCTTGCTCCCACCCAACGCTACACTTTGTCAGCCATTCGTTGTGCTGGTTAAACAGTTAAAAGTGTTATTTTTAACTACGATTGCTACAGCTATTTCACTTCAGCGCAATCTCCACCAACCAGTTATAAACCTAAAATTTTTCACAGAACAGACAGGCTGATCAATGGCCTAAGAAAAAATGGATCACAGGGAATCTCTCTATAAAGGAAGAAAGGTGATGTGCTGGTAACAACACATTTTCTGCATTGACGTCGCATTTGGAGGATCAGGTCTTTGCTTTCATCTCTGTTGTAAAGCTCCAAAACGAAATAGAGGCATTTTCACCATGATTCTGAATGCAAAGGTCTGACAAAACCAGTTGATATGGGGCAGAAAGCTTAAACATCACTTGCAAATGAATAGGTAATGCAAGTTAAAAGTGAGAAAGAGCTGTCCTAGACTCACTCAGGTGATTTTCATCCAGTTCATCACAGTAGATGCACTGGTTCAAACTTTTTGGTTTTATACAGAAATTGCAGACTTAAGAAACATCTGAAAGTCACAGCAAAGCTGGAGCAAAGATCTCGAACAAACTTCACTTTAGAATAACCGTATCTCATACCCTTCATATACGTAGTGGGAAAATAGGCAAGAAAAATGTCAGCATAAGAGAGACAGGGCTTTTAACGACAGAACTCTGAAGCTCCAGCTAACACTAATGCAACTGGGCTTTATCCTCTTAGATTTCCAGAAAGAGCTTCCAAAAAATCAGTAAGCTATGTAGGAACACATAAGACCTTCTGATTCAAGGCCATGCAAGACTGTATCTGCAAGGTTGTGACGTCAGATCTTGCCTAACTCTGAAAGAAAATCAAAGGACAACAAATGGGAAATGGCCACCTTCGGATGTGTCACCTGGTCTGCCAGTGGACTGCAAGAAAAGAGAATTTTTATAGAAAACTTGAGCTGTTGAATAAAAACCTGTTCAAGAATTTACTGTAGTATTCATTCTGGTCACAGCCAGGCTTCTTCTGTCAGGAACAATGGAGGCTCCACCTCCATGGGTGCACGGCAGGGGAAAACCTGTCTTGTGTATGTATTGCAATATACATCATATATCTATATCTATATATCTATCTCACTTTGGCACCCATCAAGTTTCAGGCTGCTTTGTATTTGACTAGAAAATTCACAGCTGTAATGCTATGACATGGATTATAAAGAAATTTGCTTCACTTGTCCTAAGCAGAGAATCAGGTTGCCCTATCTCAGGCAGAAGATAAGATCAGCTTAAGTGGAACTGGACTGCTGTCATCAGACTCTAACTGAATGTCTCCAGCAACAGCTGGATGTTCTCACCAACAGCAACAGAATCTGTTCATTTGCTTTTGGCACCAACTAATCCACAGTCTCAAGGTTCTTAGTACAGATCGTGTGCGTACCCCAGTGCTGCTTTCACAAGAAATTTTCCAGAACTTAAAGCAGACAGTCCTTAGCAAAACACAGGTTCGATTCTCATAGATCTGGAACACTTTTAAAAGTTATTCCTCTGAACCAGGTACAGACTAAATTCTCAAATACAATTCAATCAGTTAAAATCCACTTTCGTGGTTTTGGAACATTAACTTCAAGCATAGAAACAGTTTAATATAAATTCCAGAGGTGATGTGGGACTTTCAAACAGCAAAATTCAGCAGCCTGACCTAAGCAGCTAACTCCCTACTTGAAAACAGGATCAATTATTTCTATGTTAACTCTTTAGAGATGCTGCTCCCCGTTTGCAAAGATCAACAGCTACTCTGCAGCCTCCCCAGGCAATGCTATCACACTGCTTCTCTACCTATATAGTTAGAATGTTTTCAGAGTCCACAACCTGAATCTTTCTGCATCTGTGCACAAATTCATGCCCATTTAACTAAATTGACTGGGAAACATACCTTCACCTAATATTGGAGTACAGAGGCAGGTCAAGAAAAACAGCTGCATCATTCTTACCTGATTGGTCAAATGGATACCTAGCACTGTCCTGTCTTCCCAAGAAAGGCCTAGTGGCCTGAGATGCCTGCAGACTAGTCTGATAGAGGGATTCCAGTTCTGAGAGCTCCTGTTCTGTGTCTTGATTCCACTGTGGATGCAGATGTACTGGGATCCTGCTCAAGTCATCTCCAACTGCTCTCTGATCAGAAAGGGGTGGACTCCTCCCAGGTACAGGAAGCCATTCAGTATTCTTAATAGCCTTCTGAGAACTGTAATACCTAGTAACATTATCCACCCAACGGTCCACAGGCATAGAGGCAACCATGCTACTAGTAGCTCCATCATCCACCTGTTTCATTTCTCCATCATGACAGTGCCTTTCCAGGTAGGGTGCAGAGTCTGCTATATTCTGTCCACCTCTTCTACACAGCTCTTCACTGTGAGAACAAATACTCTTAGAAGCAACATGTTGGGCACTAAAACCCTCCAGAGAAATTACCCCATCCCTAATATCCACAGTTGAGTGTAATTTTTCAGAAGACTGGTTTTTGTTCTCTTGGTTTTGATGGATTAGCTGTCTGTAACCAGAGGATGTAGGGTTGATGAAAGACTTTTGTGTTAACTTTGGAGACTTCTCATCCTGACACACTGCAGCAATCCAGCCTTTTTCATGAGTACCTTTTCTCTGGGAGACTGCATGCATTTTCTGAAACTGCTCTGCCAAGGAGCGAACATGTCCCTTTGTACTAAAAGCCTCAGATTTGCAACCTTCTGCTGTGCCATATTCATCCTGTGAGGGTAATAAAAGCTCATGGTTGGTTGCTCTGGAGTACTTATTTGTTTTCTGCAAAAGATCCAAGGAGCACTGCTGTGTAGGGGATGAAGTTGCAGGGGTCATTGCATGATAGGCCCCTACATGATCAATGCTGGGCCGCACTGGAGAGCTTGCAAGTTTGGAACAAGGACTGTGCTGGCTGTCCTTCTCAGGAGATGCTGCTTGTGGTGGATGTGGACAGGGAAACAGTGTAGGCAAAGACCCAGAGTTTACTGTGTTAGCCTTGGATTGGTACTGAGGTGTGATAACAGGCGTTATGTTATGAACCTCTTCTAACTTGCTGCTACTGCAGCATTCCCTATAGTCTTTTGGCCCTGTGGCTGTGGCATCAGCAAATTCCACACTATGGTGGGCATCATTCTCAGTTCTTGCAGACCTCTCTGCCAACCCTTGCCTACAGGGAAAAGAGGGAACTTGGTCATGAAAATCAGCAGAAGCAGACTGGAAGTTTGGAGAGATCCTGTTGGATGGATTGCTTTCAGAAGGGGGCAAGGAGGAAGACTCTGGATATAATGATGAGTGCAACTCATGGCAGGAAGCAGGTGGGTGGAAGAAAGAACTGGACCCAAATTCCACTTCTTTGTTGGGTTCCAGTGGTACCTCCTGGCTCAGCAGTACTTGGAGCGGGCCAGTCTGTTCACTAAAACACACAGAAGGGTAAATGATTAGCATTAGTCATTGCTTACCTTTATCCCTAGGGTACAGAACTTGCACTAGGTGACATACACCTGAACCCGCTTTTCTTTGCTAACTGTGTTCAGATGCAGACTTTGCATTATTAATTCAGTAGATACATACATGTTAGTCCTTTGCTTCTAACCCTGGTTTCCTACTATAACTGATCTACTGAATCCATTTTGTATTCTTAAGGGTATTTTGGTACAGTTAGGCTCCATATAAAGTATTCTTGTACAGCACCCTAGGCACTTTAACCAGTAGACTGAGCTTGTGGGTAGGGATAACTAAGAATAGCAAAAAAAGCATTTATGTAAAACAAAACAACTGTTTCTAACATGAACTGACAATTTTTCCATAAGGTCCCCTCCCTCCAGACAAGTTCATGAAGTATGACTTGACAAATGGAAGGAACAGGTTGAAATCTCTCTCATATCATCTTTATGTTCTGATCTTTAAGGTATTTACCCAACACATTAAATAACGTTCAAGTTATATATTTAACTATTATTTTGCAATAATTTGTATCCTAAGTATACTTCTTAAAAATAATTTGTATTCTTTTAGGTACTAATGCGAGACAATTATATCCTTGGGTCATACATATCCTTGGCATTTTTCTGCATTTAGTTAGCAATTTAATCTGCAGACAGAAAAATCAGTACCAAGTCCATGTGCCTGTGAGAAAATGACAGGCTACAGACAACTCCAAAAGAGAAAACTTAAGGAAACTGTAACATCATTGCTTTGTTTACTCCTTGAGACACATAGAATGAAAGTTATCATGAAAACCTAGTTGACGTGTGTAGCAGAATGACCTTCTCTGTGAGTAATTGCAAACTTTGCACTGTCTACAACATTATTTATATCAAAGCAAGATTACAGAACTCTGGCTATGAATAGATTCTTTTCATTGGCTGCAATATTAACATTTGGCTGGATATAACTTTTTGCAAAAGTAATGTTCTTTTCACAGAGCAGCAGTGAGCAAGTTCAACATTAACAAAATTAGTTTAGAAAGTTTCTTTCATTTTCTTAGAATCTGCCAAAATGCATAACTGGGGCTCTGCATTTCTCCTGTAAAAGAGGATGTAATGGACTCCTGATTGACAAAAAGACCAGCCCTCATTACGTATAATTCAGCTACCGCAGGAGAACAGAACATTGTGAACTATAGCCTGGCAGGTGTGCAAATTAACTGAGTTTTAGTATATAGCTGTATGTGCCATTTTAAAAAAAAGGAAAATAAAAAAAGATTCTCATCTGAGATCTCATCTAAGCTTCTGATAATACAACATGTAAGAAAGGGGAGAGGGAAGAAAAGTCACAGTTCAAGAAACAGCCTAGAAATTGGATAGGGATGGTCTAGTGCTAGGAGGGAATGGCATGGGAAGAAACAAGCATTAAGCTGCATGCTGAAGAGGGTAGGAAGAAAAGGATCGGGTACAACGGAGTTAGCTATGTTATAGTTAAAGTCAGTATGGAAGAAAGAATCATGAAGAGACGCTGAGGAGGCTGCTAAGTCAGGCTATAGGATGCTGGGAAGCACAGAAAGAAAATGAAGAATGATGCACCATCAGGGAGAGCAGTCAAGGTGACAGGATCAGGAACTGGATCCAAGAGTTGTACCACTAGAGAAGTGGACTAGAAAGAAAAGATCCATGTACTTGACACTTTTCAAACTACAGAGCTCTAAAGCGCAGTGGCTGCTGTTCCCGATAAAAAAGCAATTATAGCAGGATTTTACTGTAGTACGGTCTTTTACTGACTGAGTCCTGAAACTGCTCCGGACTGTAAACAGTTGCTCATTTCATCCTAACACACTCCTCCCCTTTTTAGCCAGGTTATTGTCTATTGTATTCTTTCCCTTGGTGCATAAAATATCGATGCTGCCGGGCACTGACTGCTACAATTCTCTGTCACAAATCACATTTTGAACTTATGCATGTTGAACTATTCTGAAAAGACTGGGAGGAAGGGGAAGGGGTAGTTGGCTATCATATAAATAGGATTTAACTCAAAGACGAAAGGAATAGGAAGTAATACTGTAGGATTTGAACTACCCAGGGGAATATATATAGCTTGCTATTACTTTCCAGACTGCGCTGCTCATCGATGCAGCTCAGATCTGGGTCTAGGTGATGTACTTGGACTACCTTGTAGACTGGGCCACGGTGCCGCCCTGTGGTGGGTGGCAGGTTGGCGGCGGCAGCGGCTGCGATGGCTGTTGGTGCTGCATGCGATCCTGGAGGCTCCGGGCTTTTCGGATACTGATTTGCAGCTTCTTATCGACTAGGGCTCTGCTGTGAGTGCTAGCGCTGGCATCATGCATGGCAAGTCTTAGTTTAGCTAAAATGCAAAAGAAAACATAGCAGAAAACAAACAGAAAAAAGGAATAAAATTGAAAATGAAAAAAAAGAAAAAAGATGCAGCAAGAACATAAAACATGGACCATGCAAATACTGCCACAAAAGAGTCCACAAGGATGCTACTTTTTCCATTAATGCACATTCAGCTTAGCCAGGTGTCCAAACACGTTAATCAAAAATAAACCAAAATAAAGTTAAAAAAAATAATAATCCATGTTTTAGCCCAACTTCTTATCCCCTTCACACAGGCTCTTTCCAACCATACCACATTGATGCTTCACTCTGTCACCTACCCTTCTCCTGTATCCTCCATACCTGGGACTCCCTTTACATGCAGGAATACCCAGCTGGGATTTGAGAATGAGCATATACCTTGCTGGAATGGAAGCTAATAGAGCTATCGACAGCTGTATGCTGTACCCCTTATTCTGCAGTTCATAAGAGCCAATTTCTAAATGCCAATACACAGGAGCTACCCACTCTGTCTGCAGCCATTCTATACAGACAGAGAGGAGCATGGGGTGAGACAGCCAGCCAGTCATAATGGAAAAAGACCAAAAATAAAATGAAATCACATAGCACACATTCTCAAAGGTCACAATGCATTTAAGCACTTCAATGTCCTAATGCTTTTTTCTTCATGGAAGACAGTTACAGCATAGCTCATTTCTGTTAATTCAGAGGACTGAAGAGTGAGCTACCATTTTCTTCCTATGCTACGCCCTCCATGAGAAACAGAGGAGCTTAATGCCCTTTGAAATTTGGTCTGAGGATCGGGAAAAACTTAACTGAGGATTGAGTGGCAGGGGGAGTTACCTACCAGGTGCCTGCTGAAACGCACCATTTAGCACCAAAAAGGGCACATCAGCACCCCAGGGCTGTTACTGCCATAGCACTAGAGAGAACAACAAAAACAGATGCAAATATGAAAGAAAAAAAAAACACAAACAAACAGAGATGAAGAAGAACAGGACTAAAACCCCCAAAAGGGAATGCTTGAAAAAAAGGAACAATTCTATCTCCCTA